AGATGAAGCTGCCAGCATGATCTGAAAGCTATGCTGCGTGTTGATCTTGATGGTCATCTCCATCAAGATTGAAGAACATGGCTGCAATCAGGTCATGTGGCAGCTTCATTTTCTAATGGTAGTACACCCAGCTCGACGATGATGAAACGCTAGAGGCCGATCGGCAGGTTTGCAGCTTCTCCCCAGCAAGATCTACGAGAGGAAACAAGCCCACCGTCCAGGTAAGATCAGCAGAAAAGGTAGGGTTTTCAGGATGGGAGAAGAAGCCATGCATACAGATAAGAACGATGACCTAGATGCAATATTCTTGGTTAATTGCTTGTGTATTGTTTAGAGAGTGCAAGAATATGTCTATATTGATGTTACATGTCGACCAAATCTGGTCATTTTCAGGTGCGATTTGATATATGGCATCTTATATGTTTCACCATTTTAATTAGCAGTGATGGGTACCGTGCCCGCAAGAAACTGTGGGATCTGATTAGATCAACAAGCAATCAGGTAAGAGATCACTATCTTATCATAGTGTCCCTGCCCGTGCTAGAACAGGACTGAATAATATATATACTATAACATACTCCTACACTTCACAAATCCATACATGCGTGTGTGACGTGCATATATACACACATGTACTACATTTAGAGTTGCTTCTACCCAAATCCAACATCAAGGTCACGCGAGTTCATATGAGAGCTCATGAATTGTAATAATTTCATTTGTTTTTCTGTAATAATTTCATGAAGAATCTGATGATATTGATGCATGATATTTGGAGATATCATTAATGGTTTCTCCCAAAATTTGAGGTCTTTGAGCTCTTCTTTATATTAGGGTTGTTACTTGCATCACAAAGGGCCCCGTGTTCGTCTTGTAACCCAAGGTTACGTCCCATTGTCATACAAATCCATGTACGTTACAATACCACTGTTGGGTACTTTGCAAAGTTCAGTTGACACTATCTTTCTCTTCGAAGCAGACATCAACAAGCTCACCACGAGCATGAAGTTCCTCCTTGATCATCCTAAAGTGCATCTCTGTACCTTGGGTTCTTCATTTCCCTCACATGGGAGGCTTTGCACATGTTGAAGAGGTTTTTGAAGGCACATACAACGAACTCTTCTCTTTCTTCTCCATTGGAGGGAAGCTCGTTGGAGCAGTTATTGGAGGAGCACCAGCACCATGGAAATATGTGGTTGTTGGGTCAATGTTGAGAACCAGAGTGTAAGTGACCCTATCTTCCATTCTTGGTTGCAAACTTTCTTCTTATTCTTGACCGGTGGTTTGAAGGATCCACATTGCATGATCAAGTATTGGTGACGAAGAGCGGGATACACCTTCTTCTCAAATAGAGCTTGGAGAAACGGTCCATTAGACACAATACTTCTCCAACACACAATTTCTCTACTCTAGAAATATGAAGCTATCTTCTCCTTCTAATGAGCAAACACTGGAAGATCAATTACAATGTTCTAGATCTCACTAGAGTCACCAACCTTTGGAGCAGTAGTCACACGAAAGATGCGGCGGAAGCAATCATACTTAGGTGCCAAATTCCCTATGTACCCATGACAAAGATCTAATTGGTGGGATAGCAAACAGAGAGAGAACGACCTTTGTCCTATTGACTTCATCTACAACACGAGCGTATCCATCATTTGACTTAATATGAAGCAGGTAGCAGGTGATTTCACTAAACTCGGACATAGATGTTTGGCACTTTTGGTTGCCGATCGTCCAATGAAAGATCCTTCCATCATAACGATCAAAGTTGATAGCGGCAAATAATTAGAAGGCTCCTCACTATATCCATAATCAATGGTCAAGAAGTCGAGGAGCACTAGTGCAGAACCGGGCTTTAACGCCGGTTCGCAAGGGCCTATAGTGCCGGTTCTACAACCGGCACTAAAGAGTGGAGACTAAAGTCCCCCCCCCCTTTACTACCGGTTCGGCACGAACTGGCGCTAAAGTGCCACCACGTGGCACGAGCTAGGTCCGGATGCTGGTAGACCATTAGTACCGGTTGATAACACCAACCGGTACTAAATGTTTGGGGGAGTTTTGTTTTTTTTCCATTAATTTTGTGTTTTTCATTTAATTCTTTTTTGTTTGCTGGTATTTTACGATAGTACAAATTGTACACGTTATGCATATATATATAAATAGATTTTCTCGTACGTAGAACCGCATACACACACACACACACACACATATATATATATATATATAGACACACACACACACACACAATTTCTCCTGCATGTTGCCTTGGTGCCTTTGGAGCACGATGACAAATGGTTCATGGGGGACGGTAGCGGGTAACAGTATTTTCTTTGGGATCTATGACCTGGTCGAGCAAAAATCCCGCTATTTCCTCTTAAAGTGCTAGTATGCGCTCCGCTGGTAGGAGCTGCTCCCGCACCTCTCTGAACTGTTAAGGAGATCAATATGCATGTGTATTAGTTGTGTGACTAGATATCGATAATGGTGTGAATAGTATTCTGACAAACGAACCCAATCCTGTCTTTGAGATCTGCTCCTTTTGGACGCCATCATTCGAAAGTTCTCGCAAACGTAGAATGCACACAGATCATTTCCCTGCGCCTGCTTCAGGGCCTTTATGAGAATGGAATTGAATCAGATAATGATTAATCAAGCATAATAATTAATTAATTGTATTGAAACAAGAATTAAAGAGATGGTAGCTAGCTAGCTAGCTAGTACTACTTAATTACTTACCTTTGGTCGATACCAAAACAACTTTTTTGCCCATTTGCCTGGAGTCACCTTGATGAACTTTGCCTAAGCCCTGCTCGCCGGCAAAGAAAATTAATAAAGGGGGTATTAAATAGTTCATATCAGAAAATGACGAACTAAATAGGCCGAGATATAGTTAATAATGATTGAAATTACCTGTTGACTATCCCCTTCACGATGGTGTCACTACTAAGGAAAAGGCTACTAGCAGCGTGGGTAAATTGGCTACTAGTATCGCGGGTATCCGCGCTACTAGTATCGCGCTACAGCTAAAAGTTAGTAGTAGCGTGGGTGGCATCCATGCTACTACTAACTTTTTAGTAGTAGCGCGGGTGCCACCCACACTACTACTATTCGAAACCCATGCTACTAATAACAGAATAGTAGTAGCGCATCTGTTATGCCACACGCTGCTAGTATCTTAAATACTAGTAGCACACATCCCCCCCCCCCACTACTAACAAATTAAGAATAAAAAAATAAAAATTAGATGCAGTATTCATGGATGAAGATCAGAGACATGTCCAATGCAAAATAAATTAAGGTCACATGACCATCTTAACACTTGCACCATTCATGGATGCAACATTGAACATCTCAACCACAAGAGATCATGTGATTCCATTTAATAGTAAACACACACAACCAAAGGTAGGTACCTTTCCTAGTGTTCCACCAGCAGCCTAAACATACAACTTCTCTAGATGTATTTACCAAGGCTCAGAGTTCAGACGCTAGTGGACCTGAATCCTCCCTCCCCCCAAATGATGCTATCGAGGTCCTCCACCTCAGCGATCACCTGGACGATTATCTGTGCGACGCGGTCACCGGACTTCACGGCAAAGTCCACCTCCGAGTGGTTGAAGAGCACGACGCCCACCGGGCAGCGGTAGTCCGGGTCGATCACCCCTACGGTCACGTCGGGAAAGTGAAAACTTATTTGTGCTCGTCAGCGTCCAAATCCAATAGGGTATTTTCTTACTTTTTAGCACATGCACATGGATCAATAGTAATAGCCAGAGGGCTGGTCCTTACTAGTTGCACAAGACATGAAGAAGGGCGGGTCCCCTCCTTGTTGCACGAACGAATCAACGAGAGACACTGCCGCGAGCCGTGAAGAAGGCCGAGTCCCCTCCTTCTGTAAATAGCTCGGGCGCATAAAGTTGTAAGGAATCTTAATACAATGAACTCATAGTAATGCATAATAACAAGAAAAAAAAACCATGAATCCTAAATAAAAAGATCATTCTATGAGTCGGGTTGACAGTTTCGAGACGGCATAAGCATCCTAGATATTCAGTCTAATCTAAAAAGTGAAAAAGACAAGGAGCATATGCACCTTGACTCCCACAGGTGGAGATACAAGGCTAGCTTAGCTCAATCAGAATACTATGGTTTCTACAAAACTGTAGTTTTGGAAACTGTGAGGTGTTTGGCTAAAGCAACAACAGTAGTTTCATAAACACTTGTATTCCTGATAAGTGTTTTCTCTAAAATCCTACGACAATCGACAGAAAAGATATTCAATTAAAACTTAGGTCTCACTGGGATGGGCCCTATGAGACAGGCATTGTAAGTACACAGATATTTCAGTTACAAAAAGATATTTAGTTAAAAAGTGACAAATAACTGAATGAAACTCAGACTATATATTTCAGTTACAAAAAATATTTCAGCTTAGGAATGGATTATATAAATCAGACTAGATAGATAACACTACTGAAGCTTACAAGCAAATACATGGGGCATACAAAGATGAAAAACATGCAGTCCTTCAAGTAAATATGAAGACAAAAGGAATGATTTACTTGTTATTCTATTTGACCCCAGTATCTGCCATGCATACAAATACATATGTGTATTCGACAAAATCTGCAGCTATGCATTATAGTTGCTATCAAAAAGACATTGTAAACCTATCTTGGTTGTAAATTACTGTGATGTAAGATGCCACCAAAAAATGTATCTCCATCTTGAAATTTAGATTTTTATTGACACTATACATAGGTCAGACAAAAAACTATAATTCAAGCAAAAAAAAGTAGCTTTGCTTAAGAACATGATAGTGAGTACTTACAATTTATCTTAAAATTTCAGGATCAATAAGCTGAAGGAAACAAAGGCGAAGTAAGAATGCGAGGATGAGTCATACCTGCAAGATGAAGAGCATGCATCCCTTCGGGTAAGCCAAAAATAGCTTCTTGTGAAAAAGAAAACAAAGATCAGGTTGTTGTATCTAAATGGTTTGTAAAATATTGTATTTACATAATGGGACATACACATTTACTGAACTTCTTTAGAATGGGGCACAAAACTGATAAGAATACAAAAATATTCAGGTAAACTAGAAGTGACACATTACTGAAAATTATAGTTCAAAACCACTTTAAATTGAGGCAACCAAAAAGAGAAGGAATACACATTACTGGGCAAAAATGCACATTAAATTAAAATGCATATTTTCAGTTAAGTAACAATGATTTGGACTGTAGTTTCAGTCTTTTATTAGTCTATCTTACAATGCAATTTTACATTGCAAACACTACCATTACAAAGGGAATTCACAGAAAGTACATAGGGATTTACAGTGTAAGTATGAATATTAGATTGACTGAACTTATTCTTTGCACAAGTGAGAAATCTGAAACCCTTCTTGTACTTCTTCTGCTGCTACTAGTACAACCTAAGCACTAACAACAATTGAGCAAGAAATATAGTGCAGGATGAAACTCTGCGTTGCCGGCCGGCGAGGCTGAGCAGCAGGTGGCGGATGCGAGCGCCGGACGGGGAGAGCAGAGTCACTTAGAGTGAGTGTAGCTGTGTCTTGCTTGACTTGACCAATAAATCACATGTCACTACGTACATACTAGTTTTGCTTGACTTTGACCCACCAAAGTCTTAAACTATGATTAACATCCAATGACCCGGCAAAAAGGAGATTAGCCTCTAATGATGATCATACGTATGCTAGTACTTAGAAGCAGGCAAAAGTATATGGGAAATAAACGCATTGGATGCCCTGCTCTGCTTTGCCCTCCCCTCTTGCTGGACCAGATGCATTCATTCATTGACTGGGATCATTTAATGTGGGTTAGTGAGCACTAAACAAACAATGAGGATTGTAGGTGGGCAGAGGCTGTAGGCTGCCGTGGGGGTGTCGGTGAATAGAAAAACTATATGGGCATAAACACAAGCAGCTCGCGGGCACGCGGACGAGAGCTCACCTCGTGGATGAGATGAGATGGTACTGTGCTTGCTTCCAGTAACAGCAGACGGAGAAGGGATATGACGACGGTGCGCTCAACTTCACTTCATCCTTGCCCGCCGCTCGGTTGGGTGCCTCCTCACCGTCCCAAACACATCCATCCATGGCTTCAGGCCCCCACCTTGCAGCTTGTCCATGGCCCGCCCCCTTCCTTCAACTGCCTGCACACAACCACGCGAACACACACACGCATCAGATCCGGGGAAGAAGAAGAAGAACCATAGGAAGAAGAAGATGCTACTTTTGGAGGGGATCCCGTGCTGCTGCACCTCTGCCGGATTCGGGCTAGGGTTTCAAGCGGCGTTAGAGGTTGGAGGCCGCGACTAGGGATGGAAGGAGGAGTCGCCCCCCTCTGCTGGTGCCTCGTAGTGGAGAAGGAGGGAGATCCTGGCGGCGGCGGACCTCTGGTGGTCGCCGCAGCCCGGCCACGGTGGCGTGCAAAAGGAGGCTCCTCCAAAGTAGCCGGCGAGAAGACGAGTTGGGGGAGGTGGAAGGAGACGTGGGTTAGGGCGTCGGCATCCCTATCGCCGTCGTTTGGGGCGGAGGATGCATCTGCGGTGTGGGCAAGATTGGTTGGGGGAGGGGCGATGGAGGGGGAGGGGCAAGCGACAGGGAAGATAAGGTTGTGGTGCGGTGCGGTGCCACTAGTTGTAGCGCGGCCCACGGGTGCTTCGCTGCTGCTAAAGAGGGGTACATCAGCTGATCTGGTCAATTTAAAGTAGTAGCGTGGGAATTGCAGCACGCGCTACTACTAGAAAATAGTAGTAGCGCGGCTTTTATACCCCTCGCTGCTACTATAAGCTGTTCTGTGGGGATATTTAGTAGTAGGGTGGAAACAATAGACCCGCGCTACTACTATTTTTTAGTAGTAGCGCACTATTTTTACCCATGCTACTACTAAATAGTAGTAGCGCAGCTTCCACTCCCACGCTGCTGCTATAGCTCTGTCTATAAGCTTTTTCCTAGTAGGGTGTAGTCTTTTTCTTCTTTAAGTAGTGAGTCCAGTACTTCAACTGTTCCTTTATCAACTTTAATGTCTAACAAGATCCAGTGGAAACTGCATGCGCACACGTTTGCATGTCTTAATTAAGCGGGCATGTGCATAACACTAATCAACTATCGTAAACCCTATGTACACTTAATTATTAACATCTAGCTAGCTAGTAAGCAAAAACAGAATTTGTAGTACAAGACAGTGTGACTCACAGGAAGTTGTAAGGAAGTAGCATATCTTCATTGGTATTGAGGCGCTTGAAGAACTCTAGCATGCTTTCCTCTAAACTTACTCGAGAAGTTGAAAGATTCCATGTGTACTCATTAATGGTATTTGGGTCAATGAACCCAATGCCATAGGGTTCAGATTTTTTCATTTCATACATCTTCATCCTGCATATAATACCACAGAAAAGAATATATAGTGAGGATAATTACATGTAATGATTGATCAAAATGATCACTATAGCTAGCTTGAGACTTAAATTACAGAAAGAAATCACTTACAGACAATAGCAACTGATGATAGATTTGTCGAGTGCGTCTTGATTGTATAACTGAAATAGTTCTGAACCCAATCCCTTTTGGGGGCCAAATACCTCCGATCTCTACCGTAGGTGCCAAAGAAGAATGAGAAGAAGCCCAAAAAAGCAAAAAGGAACATAGCGACCAGCAAACGGAGGGCTAAAACCTGTAGTTTTGAAGCAAGGGATGAGCGCGAAAGCCGTTGCGCTTCCGGACAGAGCTTTCTCATGGAAGTAATGCTCCTCCTTGACATTCACCATGAGGGACTCTCGATTGGGAATCTTGGTAATGTTCATGTACCATTGATGCAATTCATACATTCTCGTTGGGAGGTTCTTGACCTTGTCTGGCTCGACCAAAGGTTGGCCCCGGACGTATTTCCGTTTTATTTCCCCCTCTCGAAGCGGAGACATGAGCTCGATTTCGAGGAGTTGTCCAACAGTGATCTTGAGCATTTCAGCCTGCATTATATGCTCCTCCGTTATTACCATATCGCCCAGCTAGGAAACGTTAACGGTCTGCAGACAATAATATTGGGCGCGCGTACTCCTCTCATGTGTTGTTGGCACAACAAGCGAGGGAATCGATTGCGCCACCTGTTCTCCTAGCTGGAGAACGATTTTCCCGCATTTTTTGCCAGCTGCTTGTTGGCTCGAGATCGAGCATGCTTCCTTCTGTAGTCGTGCTCGATGTGCCTTCCTGATTTGGCGCTCATAATCTGAGTCAATAGGCTTGGGAGCTGGTGCTCTAGCCATACAAATGAAGTGGTCAATCTTTTCCTCAGGCACTTTCTTCCTTAGCGGCGGTGCCGGTTTCGGTCCAAAATGGACGTCCACTTGGGCCCACACTATGGCTGCGTTTTGCTCCTCGGTTATGTCGTAAGGCCTCTGAGGAAGAGGAGCGAGGCTTGGACCATATTTATATCGCTTGTCTCCGCCTGTACTTCCTGTACTACCTCGACTCGTACCGCTACGCACCATAACTGCAGCGTGTCTTTTTTGCGATTGCTGAGACGGCGGACGTGGCTGAGATGGAGCAGGAGGAGTGGCCTGACATTGTGCCGGACTTGAAGCAGGAGGTTTGGCCTAACACGGTGTTGGACTTGAAACCGGAGGAGTGGCCTGACGCTGTGCCGGACTTGAAGCAGGAGTCTGCTCATGCGTTCGGGGACTTGGAGGAGGTGGCGGACTTCGAGGAGGAGTCGGCTCACGCGTTCGTGGACTTGGAGGAGCGGGAGTCTGCTGACTAGGTGGCGGACTTCAAGGAGGAGTCGGCAGACAACGCGGTGTCGGTGGACTTCAAAAGATGATGCAATCCTTTCTCCATAGGATGATATGATGTATGGCCTCTCCCAGTGTGCGGTCGTCGTCACCTCC